TGCTGCTGTCCGCGTTCTTCGATAATGAACTGCGCGCTCTGTCTCTCTCGCACCTGCTGGACGCTGTGGGCACTTCCCGAGTGCGAGAGAGAGCGAGCGACGGCGGCGGTATGCGGAATCGGTCCGCAGCATCGGAATCCAGTCTGGGCATGCGAGACTGGAACGGCCCTTCTCTCGTGGGTGAGGCCCCATCAAGGGCGAATTGTGAATCACTCTGCAGGTAAATAAGCCAGAAAATACTCTTAACACTAAAAATTTCGGCGTGACTCCGTGCTTTTTAGGGGCATAAACGACATGTCCAGCCAAAAACAAAACGGCCTGACAGAAAAGTCATACAAAAAGTCGTTACGCAGAATTGACGCCAATTTGAAGCGAAGCACTATCAAAACGTGTGACTTACGCCTAATTACGCTCTATTACGTCTCAAAACCATCGGGGCCATCGGGATTTGGCATCGGGATTCGGTATTTCTGTTGGTTCCCATCTAACAAAACATTTTCGTAAATAGCACTATAATTCTGGCTGACCTAACTAATTTTTTTTTTCAGTGCGATGGTGTAGGTGTAATACTTTCGTAAAGGTTAAAGACGTTTGACCCCCTGGGTTAGCACCAACCCACGGGCGAATTCTCGCCAGGATACGCTGCGACTCACACGTCGTGCCGTTTTTCGGCGCGCCTTTCATGCCAGGTCGATTAATGGCGCGACATTTTGTCATGCCGCAATTTGACCCTGTGTCCGACCAGTCCATCTATAGTGTTAAATTACACATGGATTTGTTGAGTAAGTCACGACGCTACATCGATTACACCACGTCATATGGCGGGGACAAATGTGGCGGTCGAAGAGCTGAGCGAGCCCTCCCAGTGGCGGATCCAGAGGCGGCCGTTGGGGAGGCAAAGTAGCACTTTTTGCCTTCTCACGAGGGTGAATTATGTTTTTTTTTCTGCTTACATACAGAGGCGAAGGCGGGAAAAGTATGGCTTTTTGCCTTCATTTCAGGCGGTATCTAGGTGCCATAGGAGCCCCCCCCTCCTCCGGATCCACACGGTAAAAACGGAACCTGGTTTTCCCAGGAACTCCCTGGAAATCGCCTATGTCTCTACCATAGGCATCCTGGGAAAACCAGGTTCCGTTTTTACCGTGCACGCCTGAGCCCTCCATGTTTTTAGAAGAAAAAGCCGATGAAAAAGTAGCAAAAATTAATCCAGAGCATTTTCTAGGAAAACTATTTGTGGATCCGAAAGGGTTTTCCGTGGGCACAGCACACCAGTGAAGCTTCCTCGCCCCCCTTCCTCCTCTCGTCTCCCTTCTTTGTCGGGATAACAACCCGCCCGGCGTCCCTCCTTGTAAGTAGGCACCCCTCCGCCGTCGGCCATACGGCACGGCAACGCCACGGCAACGCCACGGCAACGCCACGGCAACGGCACGTAGCGCTATCGTCGCAAAGCGGATTAACGCGTCGCTTCCCCGCGCCAGACTCTCTAGCTCCCTTCTCTCCACGCGCGCGCTTGTAGGGTAGGGACCCTGAACTTACCGAGGACTCCGTCACAGTCTCCAAATTGCGTCTCATGAAGTGGGTGGGCGCGTACTCCATTGGGCGCCATCCTGGAACACATTCTGATGCACCGCAGTGGAGCGGCGGGAGTGCACACCCGGTACCGGGCGTACCGGGCCGCGTGCCGGGCCGCCGCACAGCCATGGGTCTCCATTCCCCGCCGCGCCCACGGCCGCGCCGGAGGCTTCGAACCACAAGCCTCTCCATGACGGACGGGGTAATTCCTGCAGCACACCGCAAGTTTCCGCTTACTGCTGGTGCCATATTTTACAGCGGGGGCGCCGCCTGCCGCCTGTCCGTCACAGCATTCGCCGAGCTGCGCCGCGGGCCCCGCGCCCTCCACCCTGCCTGGCGCGGGCTTGGCGCGGCGGCCGGGGCCTGGGGCCCTGGCAGGGGGCTGGGCCTGCCTAGCCTAGCCCGCGGCGTGCTGCATCCGCGCCTGCAGGGTGGAGGTGACGTCGGACCCACTGACAACCGACGCCCCATGCGGTGTGCGGAGAGCGGAGCTAGCTGGAGGCGGTCAGCCAGCACCTGTTCCGCGTGCGCCGCGAGCTCCGCGATGAGCTCCGCGCGCCGCCCTGGTCCGCGACGTCCCGACGTCCCCAGAGGTCCGGGAAGGCCGCCGAGCCGCGTCGCCTATTCTGGTGGGCCAAAGGAACGAAAATAACGGCCGGCAGGGGATGGCCCGATGGCCCGGCGCGGTGCCGAAGTGCCGTGGCCGGCCGTACCGCCAAACGCCGAAGGGCCGAAGCGGGGCCGCAGCAGGGCCCACCAGGGCCCACCAGGGCCCACCAGGGCCCACCAGGGCCCACCAGGGCCGCACACGCCGCAGAGGGCCACCGCCCCAGCCCACGCACCGGGCCAGGGCCGAGGGCCCCCGGCACCAGCCGCAAGCCAACACTGACCGTGAGATGGGACACGTGCAACAGGCCTGCACCGGAGCCGAGCCACATGGAGCTCTGTGCTGCCCAACGTGACACTGCACGCGAGCGCATGGCCGCTCCAGACGGCAGTCCGCACGAGCACCAGTAGCCGACTGTCAAAAGATTCATAAGGAAGGGAGGGGGGGTAGTAGTCGACACCGCAGTGTCTGCTGAGAAATGACGCCGTAGCGAGGGAAAGGCCGAGATACACCGTCAACTGTCTGCCTGACTGACCCGGCCGCACCCGGACGCCGGACGGTCCAGGGAGGGACTAAGGTACCCAGACAGCAGTGGCCGAGGGAGCAAACGAATTCGATGTTTGGGCACACAAGATTTCAGGTTTCGTAAAAAACAAGTTTAAGGCCCGATTTTTTTTTCTTTTTTGCCTTTTCTGGGAAATGATTTTGGATTTCAAGGTATTCTAGATGCTCAAGCGGACACAGAATTTCTTGGGTTTTCTCAACTGGTTGCCCCTTGGCAGTGGGGCGCCCAACGCACCCCTCTTCTGATACGCAGTAAGCAGCTACAATGCCCACACACCCCACACACGCAGCAGTGCGCAGCAGACGGCACAGGGTGGTGGGCGGGCGACGACCTTGGGCGTGAGATGACCTTGAGCGTGAGATGACCTTGAACGTGAGGCGACATAGGGCGTGAGACGACCCTGGGCGTGAGACGACCTTGACTGTGAGACGACCTAGGGCGTGAGACGGACATTGGACGTGAGACGACCCTGGGTGTGAGACGACCTTGGACGTGAGACGATCTTGGGTGTGAGACGACCTTGGACGTGAGACGATCTTGGGCGTGAGACGACCTTGACCGTGAGTCAACCTAGGGCGGGAGACGACCTTGGCGGTGAGGCGACCCACAGTGGGCCAGAAGACCGGTCGGACAGGGGCGGCCAAAACTCGGACGGACGGCAGAGGTTTTGGGCGTGTCTGAGTCGGCTGAAAGCTAGGTCTCAGAGGGCCGCAGCACCCGTGCCTGCCACAGATGCACTTGCTCTCCGAACGACGGCCAACTCTTGGTGGGCACACTGGTTCGGCTTCTGGTCCTGCTTTTAGGTCGTATCTCTGGATTCTAAAAGCGTCTAGAGTTTTGGCCGCCTCCACCGGTCTTCTGGCCCACTGTGCGACCTTGGACTTACGTGCCTGCGCCACTCTGTGGCGCACCACTGAGTGGCGGCTTTGGATTTGCTCTTTGTGGTCGTTTCTATTCTGGGCGATTGAGTCTTGATCCGCGACGGGCCGTGGCGGTTTCAGAGCGATCCGTGCGGACAAGGGGCAGGGGCACGGCACGGCGGCACGGCACGGCAGGAAGGTTTCTAGGTGGCGTGGCTGAAAGCGGGGCTGAAAGGCTGAAGGTCCCAGAGGGCCGCAGGCCTTGCCACAGAGTGCCTCGTGCCTCCTACAAGAAGCGACGGCTCAACTCTTCTGCCGGCAACACTGGCTACAAAAGGCCTCTGGTCCAGCATTTTGCAAGGGGTATCCTCCAGTCACTCTCTGAATTCTTAAGCACTTTTTGTTCCGCACTACTATGCACATGGAAGCTTCTGCATAATATTGTTCATGACAACGCATAAATTTTACATTGTTATGCATCATATAATGCGGAAGCGTAAATACGAATGTGCAAAGCTTACCAAACTTACGAAAAGAAAGTGCATAAAGATTTAGTGTGTACGTAGTTCCTACCACAGTGTACACCAGCCCGTCTCTTTCTCTCTCTATTTCGCTTCGGCTTTAATTCTGTTTGAAGTGAGTTGAATTCCCGAACCAACACAGGCCATGCTCTTTCCCCAGATGCGGTTCCCCGCCAAATAAAATCAATGTGCATGACGTCACATCACAATGTGGCGAGTGCAATTTGGCCAATCCGAATACTCCCGTATTCTGTTTCGTGCCGCTCGGCGGTGGATCCAGCCAGAGCGGGCCTTTCAGAGGCAAGGGGGGAAGGGGGGAGGGGGAGCACTTTTTGCCTACCTTTCAGGCGTTTCTTTCTCCTTTTTTTTGCCAGGGGCCAAAAGACCTCTTGCCCTCCCCTCCCCTGCCGCTGGAATCATCAAGGTTCCCCGAATTTCGGACGTCTGCGAGCTCGGAAAGTGGTGCAGGTGGCTCGGCGCGGTGTGTTTGGTGAAGTGCCGCCATAGCCTCAAACTCAATAACCGCACGGCGTCCGGTTCCGTCAGGTCTGGCCGCCCGCCTGCCGCTGCTGCCGCTGCTGCCGCTGCTGCCGCTACCTGCCGCGAGCCGGAAGTGGGGGTGCGGCGTGGCGCCGAGGCCCGGCCGAGGCAGTGCGGCAGTGCGGAGTGCTCCGAGGGAGGGTCACGGCATTTCTGTTTTTCTGGTCGGTAAACGCCTTGGCGTCAAAACACGCCGTCGCCAAGGTGCTGAAAGGGACTTCCCTGCCACGCCCCGCTGTTTATTTTCACAACGTCCCAGAGTGCCGAGGTTTCTATAACCGTTCAGTCGGGAGTGGGTACCCTTTTGGTGTGAATCAAATAAATGTTTTTGAAAATATCTTTTGATCCTAGTCTTTCTTTATAGTTTTATTATTATCACCTTTATCCAACACATACACACAAAAGGCTGCTCTATACGGACTCACATCATTTCTCAGCAGCAGCCTCATTCAGCTCTTCCAGGAAAGTCATGCATTTCTTCTTTAACACTTTAATTGCTTCAACAAATAGAACATCAGGTGGAAGGGCGCCGACAGACTCAACTGAAACTGAAATTAAAAGTAAATTAGTGAACATATAAGAGAGATGTTTTGACCTTCCTTTGTATCAGGTGCTTTGAGAACAGGTACTCACATATGTAGTGGTCTTTTACACGGGCCATTTTCACAGAGTCTTTCAAGTCTTCATATCGGAAGACATTTCGGCTGCAAGAATCATAGCGAGCATCCTTTACCTTCGCCCTTTTCTTCCCTGTAAAAAGTATGAGAATGACACACAATGCTTTCCAAAAGAACAGTTTAACTTGCTCTGAAATATACCAACCATGTCCATTGTCTTCTAAACCTATAACTCCTGGGGAAAAGCATGACTGCAATCGCTCTGCCAATTCACCCTCTACATCCTTGGTTAATGTAATCTCTGGTAACAAACGATATGATGCAGTGGCTGTGAACAGATACACACGTATTAAAAAAATAACAAAACCAGATCGTGAGTTTTAATGAATGTCACTAAACTAAAAGATAAAAAAACAAAACACAGTACCAACTGGAGAAAATTTTGCATGATCCTTGCCAATTCCTTTAACAGCTAGTAATCGCAAATCAAGCTCATGGCCAGGCCTGAGTTTGTTCAGCAAAATATCTTCAAAAACTGGACCAACTTGTTCAGCATTGTAAATGTCAGCTTGACCACCAATTGGAATCCATTTCAAATGTTTGGTATATACTGCAATATAAAATGAGCAAATTTTAACAGTACTTGGAAGAAAGGAGAAAAAAATAAACAAGAGGGAAAAAGGTGCAATGAAAACTAGTAAACAGTGGAGAATGGGAAAAAAAGGAAACACTAAATAAGTTGGTAAAAACAACTCACCATTATGATTTCTGTACAAATCGTCTGGATGAGTGGCGTCTTTGGGAGCATTGCCATTCCACGTGCACTTAATCTTCAGCTCAAATTCAAGAGTATCTTGCTCTGTTGGTTCAGCATCCGCCTCAGCCTTATATTCAAAGAGTCTGGGGTCTGCCTTCAATGGAATTAATCCTAATCTGTGAGCTAATACTTCATCTTGAAGTAAAGTTGTGTTATTGAAGATCTTTACTTTTTCGATGGCCATGCTTGGAACCTGGATATGTTTCAAGTAAGAAAATAAGAATAAAACAAGAATTTCAAGCATAACAGAATTAAGGAATGAGAAAAAGTGTGTTGAACCCATACCTCAGAGAGAATCACCCGCCTGAATGCATTGGCAATTGCTGCATGTACACCAATTAAGTCGAATTCCATCTCCGTTTTATTATACCGAACAATTTCAATGCGGAAGTTCTGTAAGCATCACAGATAGTTATGGTAATTTTTTTGCATCTTAATGATTTCTTTCAAACTTACGAATGTCACATTGTTTCAATGAAAACACAAACCTTTTGAAACTTCTTGTGGCTCCATGGCTCTTCACAGCTGAAACCTCCAGGGTAGTCAGTAGCATTTGTCTGGAAAAGAATTTAGAAATAACGATAATATTAATCTGGTGGGTGAAGTTAGAAAGACAACTATCTTGAGCAATGAAACTAAAAAACCACTCATCACTGAAGTCTTACATTAGCAACAACGTATTCGTTTAAAATGATTCTCGACTTAGACTCTTCTAAATTCATCTTAAATAAAATATTTTAATATTTAAGAGTAATTATCCAGGTTAGGTCCTCACACACGTGTGTTTTGACTTATTCAATTGCGCACAGTAAAATTCTCATAGACACAAATTTCTCATAGGAATGAATGTCTGCACAAGTTTTTCATAGCAAGCAACCTCGCACGAAAATTTGAAATATCTTCAGCAGACATGTATTACAGAAAAGCTCCAAAATTTCGACCTTTGTATTTACCACCATTGAGCCAGGATTGATGGTGGTTTAGCCGTATGCAATCATACCGCCCATCCGCTGATATCTTACTCGTTCTCGTTCCGAGAGTGGGGGAAGGCATAGAGAAAGGGGAAAGGGGGGAGGAGGAGGGGAGGAGGGAAACATGGTAAACAAACAACAGACGACAGACAGACAGCGGCCAAAGCGACAGGACAGGAGAGAAGTGAAAGTTCTTGCTTGCCCGCCACAGCTCGCGGCTCTCGCTCTCTCGCCACTGCCCATCTCACCTCACGTGCACCCCTTCATCCTCATTGAGAAAGTCAAGAGCAGCATTACTGTGAGGGAGGCCTGTGATTGTTCCCATTTAAAATTCACGTCTTGAAAGGGATCGAGTCGGTGTTGTGTCCAAAGCTGCTCGACCATGGTACTCCGTTTCCTTGTGGAGTTCGTCAAAAGAATTGTGGCAGAGATTAAATACCAGCTTGTGTACTACACACTCGGGGGAGCAGCCCAGCTTGAGGATTTCATTCATGCCAAATGCAACAGAACTGGTGAGTACAGTTGCATCATCTTCTATGTTGCTTGATATCAGGTCCACTATCAAGCCTTCACTTTAATCTTATTTTGAATGACTTCAAAACATGATATCTTTCCATGTTCAAAGTAGATTAAACCTTTTATTCCCCTCTTTCTCAATCTTAAGGAGTTGTAATCCTATATTTGACTGTGTTTTGTTTTTATTCATTTTTCAGATTTAATTGACAAGAGTGGTGAAATAGCTGTTGTGACTGGAGGGTCCAGAGGTATAGGCCTGCATGTTGTTCGTATGCTGCTGCAATGCAACATGCATGTTATTATTGGTATGTATATTGCACTGCAAATTTTCCTGTGACTGATGTATGTTGGGTAGTCAATAGAAAGTATGGTGTTCCAGGATGCCGCAATACTGTGGCAGGAGAAAGTGCAATTGCAGCCTTGCGAGCTTCAGGTGTTACCCAAGGAACTATCGAATGCTTCAAACTTGATACAGCATCATTGGCCTCAGTCCGTTCATTTGCGAAGAAAGTAGTATCTGCTCATCCCATCATTCATGTCCTTGTTAACAATGGTAATGTCTTATCTGGGTCAGGATGTCTTTCACTTGCTGTTGATCCATTTGAAGATAAAACTCATTTTTTATTTTCAGCTGGCATTATGTTTGTCCCATACTCTTTAACGGAAGATGGCATAGAGTCGCATCAAGCTGTCAACTATATTGGCCACTTTGTTTTGACTCAAGAGCTGTTGCCCTCCTTGGAAAAGGCTGGGCACCAAAGCCCTAATAAGTCACGCATTGTCAATGTAACATCATGTGCTTATGCTGCTGGAACAATTAACTATTCTGATTTTAACAATACGTAAGTCCAACAAGACATGGCTGTTATAAATCTGGTTGAAAAAAAAAAGTGAAATTTTGTCACTAAATTTATGTTTGCTTGACTCAAATTTGCAGTGAAGGTTACATCGCAAGTGCTGCTTATGCTCAGTCCAAGTTGGCACAGCTGGTCTCCACAGTCCATATGTCACGCCTCTTCACTGAAAATAATATCCCTGTTAATGTTTATGCTGTCCATCCTGGTATTGTCAACACAGAGCTTTTCGATGGAACTGCATTTAAGAAAATCTTTCCCTGGGTCCCAAAATTGCTTTTCAAGGTATGCTTTGAGCTTTCAGTACTGATAGCACAATTAATACCCAAGAATATCAACTAATCTTAATGATGTTGTTTTTCAGTCCCCTGAAAAAGGAGCAATGCCAATTGTGCATGCAGCCATTTCACCATTGATAGAAAATCGATCAGGAATTTATATCAGCAACTGCAGAGAAACTCCAGTGAAGAAACATATTTTGAATCCTTCAGAAGGCTACAAGTTGCATAAGTTTACATTTGATCTTATTAAGATCAAAGCTCCAAAGACAGTTTCAAGTTAAAATATTGCCTGTTTGTTTTTTATCTCTTTTATTCTTATTCCATTCCTATGTATTGAGACTGAAGTTGATCATAGCACCTTTTAAATTTTGTATTTTATTTGTATTAATTGAGCACTGAATCAAATACAGTTATTATTTTTATAGTTTGCCAACATTTGATAGAGAAATTAATGCCCTTCTATGTGCGTATTGATGAATTTTGATAAGTGTTACATGCACAAATATTCGGATGAGAATAAATTACAACACAGTATACAAACAGATATAATTTTAAAACAGACAATTCTGAAACTGCACAAACACACACCAAATAACTATTATTAATGAGCTCAGTCATTCACAAGAAAAATGAAAATGAAATTGAAAAGAAGTTATTCTATGAGCTTCTTAGCCTTGAAAAAGCGCCTAAGGTACAGAACTTGCCATGTTGCCAGACCCAATAAACAGCACATGCTGAACACGCTGAAGTACAACACACGGCTGTTGGTCGATTCTGTAAATGTAAAAATATGTCATCATAATGCCATAGTTGGTAAAAAGGCCAGAACAATCTACATAGGAAATGGCAAAACAGTAGTTACCATTAGTATCTCTCATTTCCTCTTCTCGCTTCCTCATCATAGAAAAGTCCTGAACTATAGCATCAGAGAGATCTTCCAAACGCTTCAGCTCCACTTCCATTGGTTTCAATTTAGCAGCTTCTCCAATCTGAAAACAAAGCCACACAAAATTTTGAGAGACAGAAAAATAATGAACAGAAGATAAATGATTATTAAGATCTAGCACAGTGCCACATTCACATGTTATGGTGGATTACAAACTGACATTAATTAAACAAGCAAGAAACAGGCAGGTTGAAAAATTCTGTATCTTGTACAATGGCAGACAGCAGCTAGGTTTGAACTCCCCAAATAATCTAATTCTTATTGGGCAACAGTGCAAAACCAAAGAACACAACAAACATTAGTCATTATATATTGACAAACACAAACATATTAGTGTCATCTATGGAGAGGGAAGAAATAAGGAAAGAAAGGGAGTTCAATGAAGCTGTGCAAGTAGCAGTCCACAACTAGTAGAAACCGACACACATTTAAACACCTCAAAAACTTTACCACAGACTTCACGAACACCAGTCAGTTAGTCCCAGAGCATTGAAAAGAGAAGACGATATATTAGAGACCAATAACTTAATAAAATAGATGATCATTTTAAAATTATAATCTATGAACAAGGAATTTCTCAAATTCTTGCAGATCACAGTCTGGGCACTTTCTAGAAGGGTGCCCCAACTCCACCACAACTGCATTAAATTCAAGAGATACACAAAAGAAATGTGGCAAAACTCTCTTACTAAAAAAATTGGATAACACATAAAGTATAGATGTTCTTTGGCAAATTGGCACCAACGAGATTCTTTACAAAATCATTTCATAAATATCTTTGAGACATATATCTATGAGATGGATAGAAGATTCCATAATACTTACAGCTTCATAGCTCTTTGCTTCAATTCCTCGTTTCGTCACAAGAGATACTTCTTGTCGAACGCCTCGTTGATCTGCAAATTGTACAAGACAATTCTATAAATTTTGAATTTAGCTCAGAGAAATCGGGCAAATCTGGGTAGGCAGTACATACTACACATAGAAGGGAATTGGTAGAAACTTACGAGGAGGAACGAAGGACGCAAAACATACTTCATAAGTATCATATGTTTCTGTGACAAATGAGAATTTTCCCTTTGAAATATCTTCCTTCTGAGATAAAATGTGTCCTTGCGAGTCACGTACCTGATAAAAAGCAATATGATCGGGTACAGATAAACAAATGAATATGGACATGAACAATAAGAATGATGCAAAACTGTGGAACTTACTATATAATGCACTTTTTGACCGGGGGCCTGGGACACTTCATACTCCCCGGTAACTAGATCATTTTGCTGCAATTCCTCTTTTAAACACTTCTGTGTATTCGGCTCAAGGTACCACATAACTCCGTTTGCGTGCCATGGCACACAAATTAACAAGAAACCTAATGTGTAGTGAAAACTAATCATGTTCAGAAGCAACACTAAACTTATTGAAGTGAATGCTTGTCTGTCAATGTGGCAGCCATACTATCGTTTGTCTACTGTCTGCTTGAAAATGTTGCGTGTCAGTATGAGAAATTTTACCTTTATTGACAAATTTATTTTTTAGTACTCTAATTTAATGGCGCTCTAGAGAGCTTTTATTTTTGAAATAATAATATTCTACTCTATTTTCCTATTGGATTTATTGTTTTTCTTTTCTAAGTATTGATTGACCTTCACGCTACGGATTCTGACAGCCGTACCGTATACAGCTGAGGTAACCAAACCGAAACCGAACTAGTTTGACAGTTCTTAGCAGAAGTTTTGTGTGGTTGCTCATGAATGATATGAATGACAGTCTAAATAATCCATACTTTTAACTTTTTTTAGCGAACATGCGACGAAGAGCTGGGGTTGGTGCTATTCACAAGCAAAAGTTGGAACAAGAAAAGTATCGCGATAAAGGAACAGAGATTCAAGAAAATGCTCTTGAACAAATGTCCAAACAGCTCGATGTGTTTAGATCTAATTTAGAAGAATTTGCTGCTAAGCACAAAAATGAAATACGGAAGAATGTACAGTTTCGGAGACAATTTCAGGAAATGTGTGCATCCATTGGTGTGGACCCTCTTGCGTCAGGCAAAGGTTTTTGGTCCGTCCTAGGCATTGGCGACTTCTATTACGAGCTGAGTGTTCAAATTGTTGAAGTCTGTATAGCTACAAGTTACAAGAATGGTGGTCTCATAACAATGGACGAGTTGCGGAAGAGATTAATTCAGGCTCGTGGTCGGAGTAAGCAGCATCAGGAGATATCTGTTGATGATTTGCTGTGTGCTGCTAAGAAATTGAGAATTTTTGGCAATGGATTTACTGTGCTGCCAATGGGGAAAGGTCAGTTCTTGGTGCAATCTGTTCCTGGAGAACTCAACATGGATCACACAGCCATCCTTCAAGCTGCTTCCGACAATGATGGGCATATCAGTTGTTTGGATATTCAATCCAATCTACAGTGGGAGGCCGACAGAGCACAGAGAGGTTTGAATTACATGCTGCGTGAAGGGCTGGCTTGGATTGACAATCAGAACCCGAAAGAGCAGACATATTGGTTCCCCAGCTTGTTTTCTGCATGTGCTAACGCTCAGAACTGAACTCTGTGATATTTCAACACATCTTGCAACTCTCATCTTCTGTAAAAATAAAAACGATTTTTGTTGTGAGCTATTCTACTTTTATGTATCCCTAAAAGTCCACTGTCCAATCTGAAAATCAGGCTTGAAGAAGACACGTTCTTCTCGTACTTAATTAAACAGCATGAGCTGGAGCAACTCAAAAAGATAGTATTATTTTTAAAAAATTAAGGACTCATGCTAGTTTTTTATCACTGTCTTCATCATTAATAATAATAAGAAGGGTAAGGAATGAGAAAATGGGTAGTTACAAAAACAAGTGGTACAATCTTTTTAATGAAAGTTATTATGAGAGAAAGGCCCTTCTTTCAGGTAGCTATGCAAGAACACATAATAGCAATTAAGAAAATGTTTCACAAAGTCTGGTAAAACTAATTTTCAAATTATTAAATTGACTAACATAATTAATAATCCTTGAAATTAGTAGTAGAATAGTGTCCTGTAGCAAGTGCATACCAAACTTGGACCACAACTGGAAGTTATTTGCTTCTGGCTGGTTAAGAACACAAACAAAAACCATCAATACAAAAATAAAATGCTCAGCAATCATTGCACCTGTCTGGATAAGATCACAGATCAGCCTTCACAAACATGAGCAAATCCTTTAGACAAAAACAAATAAATATGCATGCAGTGACTTTAAGAAGGTAAAAAGTTCGCAATCACAAACTGACAATGTCCAAACATTATGTCAATTTTCCTGGATACAGACTTTTTAAACTAAAAACATATATTTATTTTTTTTAAATTTAAATTATAGACATTTATAATAAACATTTGAACTAAAACATAAACAATTATGGTTTCTGTTTTAAAAAAAGGTTAATAAACTGCTGAAGATGCAACTGTTGGCCAGACATTATATACATACACCAAACATTAACACACAAACAGTTGTACTACATTTGCAGTAGTAAACAAACATATTTTAAGTTGTAACAACACAGACACATTCTTTCGTTTCTTTTTAAATTTATTTGAGAAGAAAAAATCCTGCGCGCCTCCTACTCCAACTGAAGTTCTACTTGCTCAACTTCATCAAAGTGTGATGCAAGTTGATTAGCCCAGGCATCCAGTTGAGTTTCTTTAGGCTATAACAGAAAAAAAGAATAATGTGAAGAGTACTAATAGAGCAGACTACTTATCTAAGTAGAAATGAATTTTTCCATCTCTTTTTACCTTTTTGGTTCGCTTGTAGGATTTGCTCTTTTTCTTCACTGGAATAGTAGGCTCAGCCGACTCATCAATTTGTTCCTCCTCATCACCAGAGTGGACTTCATCACCACATGCTATTCTCTTCACTGGTCGAAATCTGTCATATGATCTCCTTGATGGCTGTTAACAAGTTCAGAGCATGAGATATACTGCACACACCTTATTTAATAGAAAGTAATAAAGAGATAAAGACAGATAATAAAGAGAGAAATAATAATAAAAGAGAAACTGTTCTTACTTGTGAAAAGGGGGAACGTAGATCAGCATCAATTTGATCCTCATCAAACAGGGGTACAGGTGTTGGAGTGAGCACAGGTTGATTAGATACTGCAACAACTCTTGCAGTTGAAGATGTGGGTGTTGAGCAAACAAAGTCGGTCAATTTGGTTTGAATTGACCTAGGAGTATTATTAGCTGGCGATGCAAGTTTACATTGCCCTCTTAAGATAGCCAAAGCATCTGGGATAGAAATGTTTGGCTTCTTAATGGTTGGTTTTTTGACAATATTAGTAGGTTGAGGTACAAATGTGACATCCTCATTGTCAAAACCAAAACACTGTTCCAAACCAGATGATGTAGGATCCGAAAACTTCACAACAGTAGCTCTTGAACTAGTTTGCTCCTTGCTAGGTGATAACTCAGGAATATTTCTCTTGGGTACATTCTGGCCTTCAGGAATGTAAATAGTACCACGGTGGGTGGAGAACATTCGGGTAGGTAAAACAGAAGTGCGTGGTATGTCATCAAAAATTCCAGACAAATTTCCATCTGAATCATTTACTCTAGGCGATAGAAGTTTCTCTGAGCGATCCGAAATTGTAACTGCAGGGCACGTTCTTTTGCTTTTTGACACTGATGGTTTATCAAGACTTCCAGCTTCTCCATTGGTTCTCCTAGAACGAGTCACCGGGGTGGAGGTAACAGCATCCAAATTCCTTGCACATTCAGTTTCTATTAAGCCAGGAGAAGGCATTCGAGGAGAATTGAGCACTTCCCCGAATGATGGGCTCTCTCGAACGGGCAACTGCAGAAGATAACTAGATCTGGAAGCCAATCTAGCCGATTGGGATTTTGAGCTGGATTGAGCATTCAAAGAGATCTGATTTAGAGCATCATTAGTTGGGGTTGATGCACATGGTATGTCAGCCATTATTGATGGAGATGAAGGCTCAAAACTTTCATTATGGGTGGAGGACAAGCTACATGATGGGACAGAAAGTGCTTGTCCCTTTGCACTGGGTATAGCTGGCAAGGACTGTGTGAGTGACTTGCCAGTACTGGAAGGTGCTGCAGTATTGGGTACGTTCTTTGATGAAGGGTGTCTTAATACTGGAGTAGAGGTAAAATGCCTTGCCTTGTTCAGTTCAGGTGTCACGGCACTGTGCAGCGGAGGATTTGCTCTCACAGAAGGAATTGTTTTCACAGAATTTGCTTCCACAGGGGTTGCTTTCACTTGAGAATTTGCTTCCACAGGGTGAGTCACTTTCACAGGAGGAATTGCTTTTGAAAGAGGAGCTGCTTTCACAGGATTCTCAATACTATTTAATTTAGTTTTAGCAGTTTTAGTTGTGTTAGTGACAGTAAGATCTTCAGCCTGCACAGCCAATTTCTTGGCAGGTTTTGGTTTCACAACAATTGGTCGTTTAGAGGGATCCCACTTAACAACACCACCAGCTTTTTTCACAGGCTTTGTTCTACTAGTAATAGTCTTCTTTTTCTTCTTTTTTGTTTTCTCAGGAGATGAGTCTGAACCAAGAGGAAAATCGTATTCATTATAAGGGTCACCAATCACATCAGACCTGCGAACATTCTGATAGACAGGCCCTGAGGGAGCAGCATCCGGTCTTTTTTCTCCACTAGAAGGACTTTCTTGAGAGTCTCCGTCAAAGTGCACTTTCAGAGATTTGCTAGCAGGTTTACGTTTGACTTTCACTGCATTCAGCTCATCTTTCTCCTTGTTTTCATTCACAGATTGTTGAGTTCTCTTTGAAGCGCGTTTAGTAGTAGCCTCCTTGACAGCATCGTTTTCTTTGCCACCAGTAACCAGTTTCGCTTTCCGGCCTTTCGCTGGAAGTTTATTAATTTCTTTTGGAACATCTTCGTTAACCTCACAGTTCTCACTTTCCTTGATTGTGGTTTCCTGCTTCGACTTCAGTGTCTGCCTCGTCGCCCTCGTCCGCCCAAAAAACAAAGAGGGATCCATAGTCAAAGATGCATTCAAGCTGCGTCCTCAGCAAAACGGTCATTGGTGAAGCAGCTGCGAAATAAATCGAAGAAAGAACACCGTTATGTTTCCATCGTGAGCACATTGTTTTACACAAACCCCATACACAAAGCGTCTCATTAATGTGTGCGAAGAAAGCCATCAACAAGAAGAGGAAAGATGCCGAAAACAGTGGAAGTCTTCGCAAATATTGTGACATTGGCGCCGCAGTGTCAACAGAAGCACACCCACCTGCTAAAAGTATTCTAATACACTTTTCCACAACTGCAAATGATTTTCTAACCAGTTCTCAAACAGATTCTAACGCTCTTTGTTGTCGTTTTCGAATTCGGTCTCTGACGGTTCGTGGAACTGACGGGTCAGCCAACAATCAAACGTTTCAGAATGAACAAAAGTTGTTCCCCACCGTCGACATATTTCATAAAACTAAATTTAATAGCGTAAAACGATGTTTAAATTTTAAATTTATATGATTGTGAGGTTTTTTTTACTTCAAAATAACAACATAAGGGTCAAGTTGTAACTGCAATGTTGGCTACGTACAAGACAGTTGACGCAAACAAAAGAAGCGAGATTCATGAGAATGTGAGCAGTCAGCGCACCCGGCGGTTTACGGCGGGAATCGTGGGACGGGACGGGAATGCTGCGGTCCGAATAGACGACTTGAGCTAGGCAAAAGAAGAGGAAGAAAATACCTTCCCGAACATGGCGGACGGCCGCCGTCGGCTGCTAGGACCAATGAGGGGCCGGCCGCCATGTTCGGGAAGGTATTTTCTTCCTCTTCTTTCGCCTAGCTCAAGTCGTCTATCCGAAGGCAGGAGATCTAGAAATGCCTTCGGCCGTGCCTGCCCTGGCCGTTACCGCCGTGACTCCCTGCTCCCGCCCCTGCTCCCAAGAACCGCGGCCGAAAGGGAGTGACAGGGACAGAGACTTCCAACTCGTGTTTTCCGATCGCCTGTTTCTCGTCCGGATCATCTTGGCAGTGTGCGATGGGTTGCCTACCACATGGGCGTATGCCCAACTTCGGAACTGCAGGCGTCGTGTTTTTGAGTGGAGGGTTACCGCTCTAATTTTCTCAGCTCATATTGAATCGCGCATGCCAAAATATAAAGTATATTTCTCCCGAGTACAGTATGATTGCATAGTAGTATTGGAGAAGGTTTGTCCGAAGCTTGGCCTTTGCCTGACCATCATTGGCAGAAGCTGCAATCCTCGCTACAGTGTGTGCCGCAGCAATGCCTCATTTCTTGAGCGCCCCCTCGAACCCGATGCAGGACTTCATGCCGTCCTCGTGCGTGACAGTGACCTCGGCCTTGATGGAGCCGGGCACCAGCTTGTCCTTCCAGGGTGCGACGTCCACCACCTTGCCGTCCGCGCAACGCTCGCCCTGTAGAATGAAACTCCCATTAGAAGACGCGGACGGCGCGTCCAATTTTGAAAGGAAGTAGTAAAGGGGGGCGAAGGCACTCACAGCTTCGACGGGGCAGCTTTTGGGCAGCTGGAACAAGTCCATCATCGTGGTGGCGTCGGGGTTCTTGGCGGCCTCGGCCATGGCCTCGCACGCGTTCTTCTCGCCCTCCGCCAGCGGCATGCCCATCGAGGTCTTGATCACGTACTTGACCTGGAACAGTGGAGGCGAGTGGCGTGAGACTGCAGTGGCGTAGTCCGCAAGCACGATGGAGTGCACGAGTGAGTGCGCGAGCGGACCTGCGCCTTGCCGAAGCCCTTGTTGGCCTTGACGCAGCCACGGGGGATGAACTTGCAGTCGGGGGTCAGGGTGACGCCGAAGTCCCTCATGGTGAGGAGGCTGGCGGTGCCGTCGGCGCACTTGGTCTCGGCCTTCTTCACCACGAGGCGGAACCCGTTCTGCAACAGGGGGAGGGCGCCAGGGGGCCCGTCAGCGACATCAACAAGGCCGTCGTCAATCGAGGAGCGCCCCCAGCAGCCGAGAGATGATGCCCTCACTCCCTTGCGCACTCCTTGCCCCGTCGCTCTCGCACCTCCGCGGCGCAGTCTGCGAATGCGAGAGAGACAGAGCAGGCCCTGCAGGACGAGCGGGCAGCGGAGTTCGACGGGCGGATTCTACGGCGCTTTCGTCGCTCAGTCTCGCACTCATGGGGCGAGAGGGACAGAGCGATGAAGCATGCTGTTCGGAATGGGGGACCGCGGGGTGTCGCCGCAAAGACTCACGCACGCGTCCGCCGCGGGGACGACGGCCAGGGCCACGACGGCCGCGACGACCGCCAGCAGGGCGAGGGGCGCCGAGGACGTGGTCACCGTGGTCGCCATGGCGCTGCTGCAAATTGTGAAATGAAGCCGCGGCCGCTGCCTCTGCGCTTTATAGCTTAGGGCGGCAAGGCTCGCGGAGCATGGCGGAGCGCGGGACACATTACCGCGCGGCCAGTGTGTCAGTGTCAGCGACGCCAACGACGCCAACGACGCCCACGCGGGACAGGTCGGCAGGTATTAGCCTACGCCTCATTTCCGCCACCCAAAAAACACGATCCCCTCGTGACAAAGTCACGCAGCATGTCCGCCAAAGGCTCTGTTGCAATGAACGGGTCCCTTATTAACTTCAACTCTTTCGTCATGGATGGCGGGAGGAGGTGTGGGTGGGGGTAGGGGTGGTTTTGTTGGGTCATTGAATAAAGAGGCAATATCGGTTATCTGCTTACTTTCAGAGGCATGGTGGTGGCGGCTGTTTATCCGTCCAGCCTGACCCGCGTTGAAACTTCGTTACAAAATGGGCGTTTTCTGCGCGTACCCACCAGTGTCGTAGAATGCGTTTCCTATTGAATGCATGAGTTAAAACTGAACCTGCGGGCTGCCCGCAGTCACTTTTCGGCCGGTGGTCCCAGCTCGTTTGCAATAGAGACCTATTTGCAACAGCGGTGTCCTCGACCGCGGGGGCACTCCATTCCATGGCCGCTGCCCAATTTCGGACTAGACGCGGTGCTTGATAGGCATGAACCCGCGTTCAGAGGGCTTTGGACATAAACTACCTGCACAGCCGCGCAGTCGTTGTTGGTACCGATAAAAAATTCATATGCTGGCGCACTGAGCTCCGCGGCTGGTTCAGGCGTTTTCGCGTTAAAAATTATTTTTTACCATTAGCTTTCCTGCAACAGAAAGAAATGCTCTCGAGAAGAAGAAATCGGGACGAAATGATCTCGGGCAGAGCCGAGCCGAGAGCGCGCGCGGAGTTGCAGTCCCCACTCGGCAGGTCCGCGGTTCAACGCCAATTCTTTGCCACACTTTCGTATTTTCATCGGAGATTGTGACGTCACGTGCGCGACCTGCGCCCACCTCGTCAAACTTGAGGCCACCAAGTGCGTCACCGCGGTGCCCTTACGGCCCTACCGGCCCTAACGGTGCTCCAAGTGTGCGACAAGGGCGTGGCCGCTGGTGGCCGCCACACTGCCACCCTGCGCAGCGGGCGCAGTGCGCCCCCAGGGCCCCTCATGCCATGCCCCCAAGCCCCCCGAGCCCCCAAGCCCCCATGCCTCCATGCCCAAGTCCCCAACGACTCTCCGAGGCGTCTTTCGTTGATCGCTGATCTCCAGCTGCTAAGTTCTTACAAACCTCTTTCAAAAACACGCAAAGTTATTTTTTCCGTTGCGAGGGGTCTGCAGTGGCCTAGCAGTGATGATGGGGTACATTTTCCGGGAAACCGAGCTCATCTTCCCACGAAAAAGCCAAGCTAGCTGGGGCTTAGCCATAGTCATACAAGTAGGGTGCAGCAAGATTGCATCATAATTTCCTTCATTTTCTACAAATTTCTTGGAATTTCACTCCCGTCCCCCATCCAACAACCCTTGCTTTCCCCTGCAGTGGCGTTCCGACGGGTCGTGTCGATGGTTGTCGGGGCGTGTCAGGGCCGTCAGGGGCACACGGCCGTCCGAACGACCGCGGAATGAAGTGCGACGACATTGCGACATAATTGCGACGTTAAATTTCTTTTTCATGGCCCGCGGCTGTGGCCGTCTGTGCGGACGCGGAACCATACACCCACACTCGTTGCGAGCATGGAGCCGGGGAATCGTGTGTATGTGTGTGGGGGGGGGGGGGCACCGCATGGCTTGCGCTTTCCGACTTCACGAGTGTTGATAACATTTCACACAATCCAGCGGCGTAAACAGGAAAAGGGGCAGGGGGGACGGGGGCCTTTTGACTCTGCGGGTCCGGCACAAGCAGAGCTCGCCTGGAACTCTATTCCACTTTTACACCTGTCTGTCGGTGACGCCTGCCCGTCTGTCGCTTGCCGCTCGTGCAAATGCAGACGCAGTGACGCCTGGGTCTAGCTGGAGAGTCTCGGGGCGCAAGTCCACGGCCGGGCCGTGAGCGCCGTGACAGTGGCGCGGAGTGGTGGGGGCGGCTGTGTGTGGAGCGCGTCTTGGCGTCCACGGCCACCAGTCGCCGCCACCACCGCCACGACGCGCCCGCCCCGCCCCGCCCCGCCCCGCCCCGCCCGCCCCGCCCCGCCCGCCGCGCTCGCGGCCGCGGCTCGCCCGCCTCGCCGCCAGCGCCAGTCTCCAGTCTCCCCGCGTTGGTCGTCGAAGGTGGCCCCGCGCCGGTCGGTCTGTGCCTCTGTCGGTCCTGCCAGTGCGAGAGAGATAGAGAGAAAGAGAGGAGGTTCTGCAATTGTTGGCGCCGCGCGATATCAGCTGCAGTGCTGTGCGCAGCCGCGGCCGGCATGTGACTCCCAGTGTGTGCGCGTGTGTGTGTGTGAGCCAGTGAGAAAGAGTGTTTCGTGCATATGACACTCGAGCAGTGACGTGACGTCGCTGGCCCTCCGTAGGCCCAGGATGGCGGCGACATGGATGCCGTCCAGAGTGCTGGTGCTCCTGGCGGTGTCGGCGCTGCTGGCCTCGGCGTCGGCGAGACACGGTAAGGCCGCGGGAAGGCGGATGAATGGCCTGAGGGGCGTGGTGGGCCTCGAGCAGCCTCGCGCCCTTGGTCGCCTGGAGCGTGCCCATCGAGGACGGACATGCAGTGGGGTGGTGGGCCTCGGCCGAATGTCACCATCAGAACTCTTCCACCATGGAGACGCCGGCGGTGACGTCATGGCAGTGACGTGGCGGGGCCGGCCAGGTGGGGCCATGGGTTGGGCTGACAAGCTGACAAGCCGAGGCGCCGGCAACGCGCGGCGGCGCCGTACAGGCCGGCGGGGTCTGCGCGAGCAAGAGGTGCTGCCAGCCCCGCGGCCCCGCGGATACATAGCGGGAATACCCCTGCGGGGGAATACGACGCATACAGTGGACTGCACGCGGGCATAACGAACTGCCATGACATATAAAACATGCTCTGGCTGTTGGAAGTTCGCGGCTCCGAAAGCCTTCGAGCAACCGCAGATTGTGGCGCTTTTCAAAATGTGCACCAAATCTCGGCGGCTGGACGAGGAGACCCGGTGGCACTAGTACGAGAAGGCGAAAGCCAATGAGTATGTGGCTGGGCCGCAGAGCCGCAGATACGGCATACTGCACCGAGGTGTCAACGACCGTGCACGCGCTCCCTGGCGCACACCACACCTCATTGGCATGCAGCTCGGCGGCAGCGGCTCAGCGGCCCCGGTGCATTCTCGGCTCAAGTTCATCCGCATGTTGGATAACGTCGAGTAGACTTGGACCAACAACTGGGAAGGGTTCAGGGTGTAGGCGGCACCCGCGAGAAACCTACGTCCCACTCTGGCTTTCTGCTGCTGAGGAAGAAGTATGTGTGAGCCATGTGTGAGCCTTGTTCAGGCTCGGATTGGCCCCCAAAAGGCCCCGGCAGATAAGACCGCAAAAGGCCCCCGATCATCATTGTTTTTACCCTTTATTACCGCTCCCAAACTAGTTGCGGTCAATAGCCTTCCCGTACAGGACATGAAAGAGTAGGGTCTTAAGAATTCTAGGGCGTCAAGGGAGGCCTTTTACGGCAACTAGATTGGACACAGTGGCCACCCAAAGTCAGCAAAATCAGCAAATTTCCGATATTCGACTACTTTTTGACCAACTTGGTCGGAAAATCATTGCGGTCAAAGGCAAAATGGTTGTGGTCAACGTCTTCCCTATACAGGGCATGAAAGAGTAGGGTCTTCAGAATACTAGGACGTCGAGGGAGGCCTTTTACGGCAACTAGATTGGACACAGTGGCCGCCCAAAGTCAGCAAAATCAGCAAATTTCCGAGATTCAACCACTTTTTGACCAACTTTGGTCCCAAAATCGTTGCGGTCAAAGGCAAAATGGTTGTGGTCAACGTCTTCCCGATACAGGGCATGAAAGAGTAGGGTCTTGAGAATACTAGGACGTCGAGGGAGGCCTTTTACGGCAACTAGATTGGACACAGTGGCCGCCCAAAGTCAGCAAAATCAGCAAATTTCCGAGATTCGACCACTTTTTGACCAACTTTGGTCCCAAAATCGTTGCGGTCAAAGGCAAAATCGTTGTGGTCAACGTCTTTCCGATTCAGGGCATGAAAGAGTAGGGTCTTAAGAATACTAGGACGTCGAGGGAGGCCTTTTACGGCAACTAGATTGGACACAGTGGCCGCCCAAAGTCAGCAAAATCAGCAAATTTCCGAGATTCAATCACATTTTGACCAACTTTGTGACGTTACTGGTCACAAATCCGAAGCCCCCGGCAGATTTTTCTGCCTGTCTGCCCTGGCCAGTCCGAGACTGGCCTTGTTCTCCATTCATTAGGCACTGCTTGCTGAGCCAGTCACTCTTGTGAGTGTTCAGGCAGCTCGCTGCAAATTTCTTTGAGGGCACGAAGAACAAACACAGAAACGGCGGTCTCGCGTTCTGCTTGGCTGGCCTGGCTGGCCTGCAAGCGAACACGGCAGCGGACTGCAGGGGCCCCTTCGATGCAAGATAACCCGAGATCCCATTGACGTCGGCCAGGCTTGCCCGCAGGGGGCGTGGGGGGTCCTGCTAGGCAGACTTCTGCCTCTTCCGCGCCTACACTGGACGAGTGCGAGGGCGAGGGAGACTGAGCGACGAGACAGCACCGTTCCAAAGCTCAGAGCAACCCTTTTCGGCTACAGTGTAGCGCGAGCGTGCTGCCGCACGGCTCGAGCAAGGCTGCCGTTTGAGTTGTTGGTGTCGCACTCGGGCTTGTTTTGGTCTTGAGGTTTGGTGGGCGCGGACGGCACAGTGTGGCGGCACCGCGTGCCAGCGGAAGGTTGAAGGGCACTGCTGACTGCAGGGCACGGCGGCGAGGGCCGCGGCGCGGGCGCGGTGGAACCGTTGCGGGCGTGACCGCGTGACTGCGGGCGTGGCGGCGTGGTGGGGTCACGAGCGAACGGAATGCGTGCGCCTCTCTGTGCCGCGCTGTGCCGTATGCGGCACGCCGGCCGGCTGGGCGCGGTGCCGGTGCCCGGTGCGGGTGAGGCCGATAGGCCCAGCCGGCCCAGGCAGGGCGCAGCGTCCTGGTCCATTCCAGGTTTCCCCGCCTGTCGGCCTCGCCTGGGCCTCGCCGCTTGCCGCTGCGTGTTGCATGCTCTGCCGGGAATCCCGCGCAGTCGCTGCACGGCCTGCACGCTCATTCCGGGCTGCCGCTGTCTCTCTCGCGCACAGGGCGTCCCGGAGGGTAACGGGGGTAACGCAGGGGTGCGAGAGGGGCAGAGTCAGCCCGCTGAGCCAGCTGGGCGTGGCGTGCGGAAGGTGCCCAAGGTGCCCAAGGCGAGGGGGTAAACACTTCAAGAAATCGTGTACAGACTACACTGAGAGAAGGGGTCGGTGCCTCACGATAAAACTGTGATTTGTTGAACCCCCCAATGGCGACAGTTACACGAGTTCAATCCTTGCAACTGTTCAGCCGATGATCACAATAAGACTGCTAAATAGTGAGAGTGACTGAACCGCCAATAATAGTCAGCATGAAAGGACTCGATTAAACTGGCTTTAGTCATAGGCTTGATCGATGGTCAGTAGTCGCGACTAAAGCGTTTAGGTGTGGCACCGAAACACTGGCGATGCGACACTCAACACGGAAGTCGCGTTGCCATCGCCCAGCGCTCTGCCACACTCATAACAGTGCGGTAGCTCAGTGGTCTCCGTGCCTGGAGGCTGGATAAGAAGCCGGGTTCGGGGGTTCAACTCCCCGTAGCGCAACCAGTTTCTCCTGGCATAGTATCTTTGTATACTATTGTGCTGCCAGGAGATGGACTGTGGGACACTTGGGACCCCAGGAAAGGGAGCGAGCTATCATTTTCTCGGTGCGTCCGCACACATTCGTCAGTCCAAGAGGCCCATCAATGCCGGCCTCTCTCAGTTAGCCAGGTGGGCGAGTTGGTAGAGCGACGGACTCATAACACGTAGGTCCGTGGTTCGAGCACTCGTTTTGGAGTCGTTTTTTCATCGGTTTACGTTTATGTGTCAGGACTAAACAGTCAATCGTCAGACCTTATCGCATTCAGTCACTGTAACAAGATTTGATTTAGTGGCAGTGGCTAAAATAGACAGACGACATGTTAGAAAAAGAGTACATCTCACAACTAAAGTAGTGCGACTAAACGATTTAAATGTGGCCATCGAACGTTTAATTGAACCCCCAGCGACCAAACAGATTGGTTGTCACAGCTGTAAGTTTAGGTGTGGCCCCAAAACATTTCCCTCAGTGTACTCGGTATTACGCTGTATTACGGGGGTATTACACGTGTATTACGGCCTTAAAATGCCAAAATTTGGCACATTTGACCCAGAAATGGTATTACGACCACGTGTATTACGCGTAATACACGGTTTTTGTGTACAGGGTATTACGCGAGTGGTTACCCCCTCGGCCCAAGGTGGCCAAGGTGGCCGCGAGGTGGTCCGTTCCGGCGAAGGTGCCCGTCAGAGACGGCGGGCGGGTCGCGGGCCGCGTCGCCGAGGGCCTCGAAGCCTCCCCGCCCCCTCTCCACCCTCTCCGCGCACCAGCAATGAATGCCCCGGGTAGGAAAGCCTTTTCAACTTTGGGGGCAAGGCTTGGCGATCCCTTGGCGACTCCTTGGCGCCGATAAGTACTTTCCTGTCGCGGCTGGCGAGGCAAAGGAGTGCCTGTTCCTGGAAGAAGCCGCACCTTCGCCCTCACGGCTCGGATTCGGACTCAGCGAGTGTTCCTGCTCCAAAGTGTACTTACACATAACATACACTGCGAACCGTCACTTGCGTACCAGCCGCGCCTTTGCTTTCTGTTCTTCCTATTTTACGCCCTTTTTTGCGTTGCACGCACATGTCGTTCCACCCTTTCATTTTTCACTGCCAGGGCCATGCCTACCGGTGCACTTTATGGCGTGTGCTTTGTGTTCGGACGCTTGAGTTTTGAGTTTTGTGCGTATTCGTAGAGGGGAATGACGGAAGCGCCCCACGGAACCAGACCAGGCCTGGTGGGTGTCTTTGCTGAGTTGACTGGCGTGGCCGCTGCGTGTTCTGTCTGGTTCTGTCGTGCTGGTGGGATGGGCGGGCGTAGCGGCGGCGTAGCGTAAGCGGGCGGGCGGGAGGCGGGCGGGAGGCACCTGTCGGGTAGTGTCAAGGTCACGGTGCATCAGGCCTGCCGAGGCCTGCGCTACGCTTCGGCTACGCTAGGCTCCCCACATTCCTCTGAGGTACTGCGTACCGGTACCGCCTCGCCTCGCTCGGCTTGCTTATGGGGTGCTTTGAAGCCCAGCGGGCCTCGCAGCCCGGGTGTACCTGGGCGGTGCTGTTGTGTGACGAGACGAGAGGCCCTGGCGTGCCCTGCAGTGCCCTTTGCCGCGCTTCCGATACGCTATCTCGACTAGATAGGGCCCGGCCGCCGTAGGCCGCCGAATCGAGGTCCTGGGGCGCGGGCCGCGGGTGCGCCGCATCCCGCGTGCCAAAAGCACTGCACGCACCACGGCAGCACAGAGGGCAACGCGACCACGGTGTACCTCGGTGTACCTA